CAACTCGTTTTTGCAAAGAGGTAATAAAACTAAGCCCGGACCCGACCCGTCGAGTTTCTGGGTTGACTCAATCCGACATGAAACCATGGTTACCCGCCATGTCACAAATGGGAGGTGAACGACGTCGAAGGAGGAAGGAACGTCGTTGACCCTATAGATAGGAATGCCATCGAACTCCGTCGAAGGAGGTGAACGTCGTTGATCCCAGAGAAAGGAACGTCGTCGAAGTACAGTCGTCGAAGGCGAAAGGAATGTTGTCGGATCGGAGGTGAACGTCGTCAAAGGAGGAACCGACGAAGTTGTAAGCGTGGCTAGGGCTCGTCGGCGGAAGCTTATTCGCTTATACATCGGGTGAAAATCTAGTTTCCGAGTTGACTCGAACCCAACTCGGAATTCAAAACAGTTGAAAATCAGGATCTGATCCCGATCCATTCTTAAATCGGGTTGACCCTAACCCGAAAAATTCGGGGTGGTTTCAAATAGTGTTTTCGTGTCATGTCAATTTTTGACACCCCTAATTCTAACATATTTTATGTTTTTAAAAAGCTTATTTGTTGGGGTGCACAAAGGTGCTTTTAAGCATATTTCAACAACCACTTAAGTGAAACTTTTGTTGGCATCCTAATAGATAATGCACCATAACATAAATCCTTCAGGACACTGTAAGGTGCCCTAATAGGCGTTAGGGTTTATAGCATGTATTGTAAAATTTTACTGCATTTTGAGAACATGCATATTCATTTATGCATCATTTGAATGATTATTTACATTATTGCACACAATAACCTGAAACCCTTTCTAAGTTTTTTCACTTGGATGTGATTAGCCTAAATGTGATTATAAGTTAGGCTGTTAAATTTATCATCCCATTAACTTCAACAATCTAATGTAATTATAAGACAGAGCTTTCCTTATCATATAATGAGACATAAAAATACACTTGTTGTAAATTGAACTATTATTAGGGGTGTCAATATTTGACACGACACGAAAATCCGACCCGAAAAATCCCGGTTGGACCCGACCCGTTTGAAAAACAAAAACGGGTTGGGTTCGGGTTCGTAGATTCGACCCGTTTGAAAAAACATGTCCGGTTCGGGTTGACCAGGTGGGTTGCCTGGCGGGTCAACCAGAAAACCCGTTTATTTTAAAAAAAAAAAATTGAATTTCCTACTGCCCCGCCCGCTGCCTGCTGCCCCCGCCCGCGCTGCCCGCTGCCCCTGCCCGTGCTACCCGCTTCACCCAACTAGGAATTCAAAACGGGTTGAAAATCGGGATCTGAACCCGATACATTCTTAAATCGGGTTGACCCTAACCCGAAAAATTCGGGGTGGTTTCAAGTCATGTTTTCGTGTCATGTCAATTTTTAACACCCCTAATTCTAACATATTTTATGTTTCTAAAAAGCTTATTTGTTGGGGTGCACAAAGGTGCTTTTAGGCATATTTCAACAACCACTTAAGATAAACTTTTGTTGGCATCCTAATAGATAATGCACCATAACATAAATCTTTCATGACATTGTAAGGCGCCCTAATAGCCGTTAGTGTTTATAGCATGTATTGTAAAATTTTACTGCATTTGGAGAACATGCATATTCATTTATGCATCATTTGAATGATTATTTACATGACTGCAAACAAGAACTCGAAACTCTTCCGAAGTTTCCTAGTAACTTCAACAATCTAAATGTAATCATAAGAGAGAACTTTCCTTATCATATAATGAGACTTAAAAATACACTTGCTGTAAATTGAACTATTAGCTAGCCACAATTATTTAACCACATATAGCACATAAGTTTATTTCTAAGGGATGAATTAGTGCAAAGTTGGCTACCAACTCACTTATGCTTGCCGAGTTCTAGTGAGTAGCTTCGACACTTCGAGCGAATTCACTCGACGAGTTGAGCGAGCGACCGTGGTGACTTGAATGCCTTCATCTACTCTTTGAGCCAAGTATGATCAATTAGATAACTTTGAACTGCTTGAAAGTACAATAACATATTTTGAATTTGAAGTTCTTCTATCAAAACTTCTAAAAAGCAGACTGAACCAAACAGAGCAGAATCTAGATCGAATAGTCCTCAAATACATTGATAAGAAATCTTAACATATTACACTGTACTCAACTTTGTAGCGTAATTCCTTTTTAAGTTTATCATCAAGGTTTCTGAGAATTATGGCCGTTTGTGCCTTTTTTGCTTTCCTATATTCAGATTTGAGAAGGGTCACTTTATCACGGATCTCCAGTGCTTCATTTTGTCAGCTTTCTTTGACATAATGATTGGGTGTTCTAAGGTTTTATTTGGGATAATTTTAGATGATTGATTTTTTTCTTTCAAAAAATATTTGAACTACAAAATAACTTTACAAAACAGGAAGAAAGTCATCCCAAGCAAAGCCTTAGGGTTCGTTTGGGACAGCTTTTTTAATGCTTTCTAAAATAGTGTTTTAGGTTTTGTTTGAGACTGGTTTCTTTCTTCTTCTTAAAACAACTTAGCAGAAAGAAAGCCGTCCCAAACGAAACCTTAGTTAATTTTTTTTTTTAAATTAGAATTCTTTTACTTAAAAGATGTTTTAGGAAGAAAGTTATCCCAAGCGAAGTCTTAGGTTTCGTTTGGAATGACTTTTTATTGCTTTTTGAAATAACTTTCTAGTTTTAAAATTAATTTTTTTATATCAGAAAACTGCTTTAAGAAGCAGTAATATTTTTTTAGATGTTGATAAGTAATGCCGAACATGATAATATATTTTTATATTTTTTTATTTTAAAAAATATAATAGATGCTGATTTATTCTTATGATCATGATGACATAAGGGATATGTGTATAGATCAATCTATATATTCATCAAATCATCTTTAAAAAAATTATAATGACTTCTTTTTTGCATTAAAAAAATAATGCATAAGAGAAGAATATATTATTTTTTTAATAAGCAAGTAACAATGCATGTTTACCTTAAGTTGATGAAGAAGCAATAGGCTCAATGCTGTGATTTAAAAACGTCAGCTACCCACCGAACTTAGTTTGGTTGGTGGGTGAGCGTGATTGGGAATCCCCAACTCACGTTCGATTCCTCTTTCGTGCGGCTCGCCACCTTGAGGGGAGTAGGGAACCGTGGACCCGGATTCCTATGGGTTGGCTGCTGCTAAGTTTCACTGAGGATTAGTTACGTCGTCAAGTGTCTCCTAAAGGGGTGGCAATGGGCTAAGTTTCACCGAGTATTTTTATTAAATTTAAATGAAAATTTGACTCATAATAAAACATAATATATAAAAAAAGATTAATGCAATTGACCGCACATAGTGGGATAAAAAGGTTGTTGTCGTTGTTGTTGTAAATATCAAAGTATAGATTAGCAATTTTTGAATCATATTTGTTTGGAGTCAAATTAAGCGTCTCGACAAGAGCGATTGCGAGGCTAAACTTACACAATTTCAATGTCATTGCTATAGTTAAATGCTATAAAAATGATCTGTGATTAAGAGAATTAATACAAGCCGTTTAATGATACATTGAATAATTTTTGACTAAAATTATCAAAATATCATCGGAAAAATCATAAATAGATATTTTCCGTATCTCAAATGTTGCATGATTTATAGGGGTTAGATGATAAATTCAGTAGAATTTTAAAAAGTTTAATAGTGTAATTTCCTTAATTCAAAATTACATATTGGCACTTAAAATTTTCAAAATAAATACTACATTTAAATGTCATAAAAATAAAAAATGATCTATGATTAAGAGAATTAACACAAGCCATTTAATGATACATTGAATAATTTTTGGCTAAAATTATCAAAATATCACTGAAAAAATCATAATTAGATAATTTCCTTATCTCAAATGTTGTATGATTTATAGGGGTTAGATTATAAATTCAGTAGAATTTTAAAAAGTTTAATAGTGTAATTTCCTTAATTCAAAATTACATATTGGCACTTAAAATTTTCAAAATAAATAAATAAAATTGTCCTCTTGCAACTCTTGCGCAGTGCCACCGACACAAGATTTTAATCTTTTACTTATTTCCAAATCTCCCCTTATGGATTTGATGCCCTAACCCTCACCTACCATAAGTTTTCTAATAACTAATAATTTTTTATTTATTTCCAGCTGTTAAATGTGAAATATTAAAATTCTGTAACAATCTTATAATCTATGACGAGATCGGAAGCACTTTATTTATATAATAAATTAAACAAATACTGTATTTGCATATAACAATTTTTTATTTACATTTTACAAATTAATCTGGCTTTGCTTATGGTTTACGACTTGGTCGAGGTTGTATTCATGATTCATTTAATTTCAATGTTGCCTTCATAATGATTGGCATATATTTATTAATCATGCAAAGGGCTATTCTTGTAATTATTAGAAAAAAGGTAACATTTATCAAATTTGATAAATAATGATGCTTATAAATGATGAATTTTATTAATTTCAAGCTCGCAAAATTTTATGGAGTACTGTTTGGGATCCATTTCTGTTTTATTTTTTACATTTTGATTTTTTTATTTATATTTTAATATGAAATAAAATTTCATTTGATGTTTAATATTTATTGTTTTTACTTTTATTCAATATTATATAAGACAGCGATTAAGATGCTGATTGGTGGGTAATTTTTATTTTAAAAATTAAGTTATGTAAGAAATACATAAAATATATTTTGGGTATTTTTAAAAATAATTTGCTTTATTTTACAAAATAAATAATAAAAATAACTTAATCAAAATCTAAAGCAATTTTTTTTTCAAACAAAAAATCAAAATAAAAGATAGATTTGCATACATACTACATAGTTTTTTTTGAAATTTACATATTTAACCCTTGAAATTTAATATTTACAAATTGAATGTGTAATTTTATATAACATCAAAAATATCTCTAATACCAACTTTTCTAGAAAAATATCAAAATATACGAGAATTATAAACAAAAACAAAAGGTTATTACAAATATATTTCTCAATAAAAAATGGCTTCCCTGTTTTCTTTGGAAGATTCCATTAGTATGTGGATTTGTTGAAAGTTGGTAAGTATGAGCTGCTTCGTTTCCTTTATGGTGAGGCAGATCATGCTTCACTCCTTGGAGAAATGCTTCCATTCTGGAACTTTGCTCTGTGCTCCTTATTCTTAATGAAGGGATTAGGGTTTCAAAAGAAAGTTTTGGGATGATTGGTAGGGTCTTAGTATTGAAATTATTGAGCACCCACTGCTGTTTCAGAGCGGGTCATCCCATTTCTGGAATATTTGGATTTCCTGATAATATCAAAGGTATAAATGATGGTTGCATTTGCTCTCAAGCTACCAAATGCCCAGCTTGTCTTCTCATTTAGAGTTCCTCAACATATTTTTGCTTGCCTTCAGGATTTTGCAGGGGAGGATTGTGAAGTTCAGTGTTTGAGCAGCTTAATTAGGTTTTTTTTTTTAATCTCTTCATGGATATTAACTTGAATTTTCTTACATCCCTTTGTTGTTGCTTTCATTTTTCTTTGTATTGAGTGAACGTAATATTTTTGCTGATCATCCATTTACCTGTAAAGCTGAAAGTTATGATTTTTGTTCCAGGAGTTTATGAATGATATTTGTACTTCTGAGAACTTGAGCTGTTAATCTGTTGAAATTTTCTTCTTTTATTTGGCATTGTGGTACATGATGTGGTAGTCTTCAGGCTTATCAAAGTTTAATCATGGAGGAAATGAAGAATTATGGCTCTGCGAAGGAAGAATATGACACAAAAATGCTGGAATACAGTTGTGATGCTAGAATTTTTCCTCATGCTCAAGATAGATATTTATGGAGGAGGTAAACAATTTAATTTGGAGATCCTTCTTTGGTTGGAGCTTCATTCATTGGGTGCGCTCTTTTATGCGCTGTTAAAGCCAGTAATATGAGGATAATTGTTTTGTTACTGTAAAATTTTGAGGCATTTCTATGCTGGATTCTCTCTAATTCTTTTGTTGTTTATTCTGCTTGCTAATCCTTTTGGAGTTTGATTCAGCTTTTCAGAAGAGCAGGAAGATTTGTTAAATGAGACACCACGGATGTCTTACTATAATCCTGTAAGCATTCTAACTTACTCTGCATGGTTGATTAACAGGAAATGATCTGCACTAGGCATTCAAGGGGTAGTACTAGAACTGCTATAAATAATTTAGTTAAGCAAGGATTGCATTTCCCTTCATCAGAATTTGAATGAAGAGTATAACTGGTACCTTATATATCAATCATCTGCAACATTTCATGGTTGAATTGATCATCTTTTCTCTCTACTATTCTGAATGCACAGAGCTTACATCAAAATCTAGAGATAAGACTAAGCAATCAGCATTCCTTCCAAAAGATGGCATCCGATTACAGTTCTTCTAGATCAACTGTTTCAAATGAAATCCCAGATCCCATGGTAATTCATTCTTAACTGATGCAAACTTTTCCAGATTATTAATGTCTATCCAGCGTTAATTTTTCCCTCTTTCTGATCCCTTTTATGTCTTAGCAAATGTCTGATCTTTGTATTAATGGATTATCTACATTCTGTATGATAAAAAATATGAATACTGATTTTATGGAGTGTAACTTTACGGGTGATTTAAGCTATAACATATACATCAATGGTTAATCACATTTTCAATACAATTCAATCACTTGAATTTCCATGCCAGCCTTTTTTTCACCTATCCAATGCCTTCGCATCTTGACTTGTATGCCACATAACCGATTGGTGATAATTATTCAGTAAATGCAGATTGGTAGCTCATGTTATGATTAACCAGTAGATTCCAGGAGTTATGAAAAGGATTCTAGAGATGACATTTCTATTTGATTTTGCAGACTGTTACAGAGCTTGTGAAGGAGATTACGACTCTTGAGTTGGAAATTGTCCATTTGGAGCAGCATCTTTTGTCACTATATCGGACCGCTTTTGATTATCACAACAAAGACTCCTCCAATATATCCAGTGAATACTCTAGGCATTCTTCTGGTGGAATGCTTAAAGGAAAGAACACAAAGCTGATGGTGAATCATGGAAAGAATGGAATTAAATCAGATCCTTCTCTAGGAGAGAGCAATTACAATATCAAGAGCATTGAAACGGACATTAACTTGAAGCTATGGCATAAAGAAAGTTATAGTGCTCTCCATCTACCATGTGATTTGGAAAACATTGCTAATCATGTTCCAAGAGACGAGCCTGAGAAGGTATGATCCTTTACGTCCTAGAGATGCTACTAAAGAAATCAAAATAATTTATGTATCTTAATCATTTTTCATACTTTATTTTAAAGCTAGTTTAATTCTCAAAAGTATAATTGGTCAGTAATTGCTTAATATCATGTCTGGATAGCTTTTATGATGTCAATTACAGTATCAATTGACATCTCATGTGCCAATTGCTATACGCGAGCAATCTGCTCCTCCCTATTGTGCCGATCCCTCCATTATCTTGATCTCGCCTCCAATCAACCAAGCTTTCCACGTGCTCCGACCTCTGATCCTATCCCTATCCGACCTATACGACATCCTCCTCATATCCAACCGACCACAAGCTCAATCGAAGCCCCCACCTCTCCAGAACAATCTCACACTTCACTACAAATCAACCTACTTTATAACCAAACCAACTTCTACCTGAAGCTCCGACCTCTGATCCTTCTCTACATCCATCTCCCTCTCAACATATTATTATTATTATTTTAATATTATTGAACCTTCCAACAGTGCTTTGAGCCCTTGATTCGAACTCATTTGGGCTCGGATTGGGTTGGTCTTGGTGTCGTTGGGTTCGTATTTCCGAGACGCTCAGTTTGACAGTAAGCTAAGTGAAATCGGAGTTTGGGTGCTCCCAGAATTAATTTTTGAAGTTTCCCACTAGCTTTTGCCTTGAGATTCGTGCCCGATCAAGCTAATTTTTTGATGCCGTATCAATTATTATTATCTATTAGTAGTATTATTATTTAAAAAAAAAAGGAAAAAAAAAAGAGAAAGTTTCCCAAAAAAAGAATAAGAAAAAAAAAAGAAAAGAGAAAGGAAAATCTGTGCATTTTAGTCGTCGTCATCGCCCTGACATTGTTGTCATCTCCTTCATGAAGGTATAAATTATTTCTAAACTAAAAAGTCATCAAATCCTGCTTTCGGTGCTCACATCGCACCGGAAAATCACCTATACCTCCTTTTCTAGTTACTCGAAAATAGTGATAGTGGTAATTATAGGCCACAAAAGGCCTCAGGTACCTTATTCTTTTCGTTAGGTATATTCGACAACTTTTTCTCAACTTTTTTCAAGAGGGCTTTGCAAGAAAAACCTCTCCTCCCATAGAATCGAAGAACGGAGCAAGTGTGGAAATTTTTCACATGGGCAAAAGTCCTTAGGCATAGCCCTCTCGGCTCTTTCTGTTTGTTTGCAGGAAGCAAGTTGAGCAATTCAAATAAACTTTAGCAACAAAAATGGCATGAAGATGATAGGAAACACTTGTAGATCTCAAGTATTTCCTATCAATCTTCAGAAAACAGCAAGAATACTCCAAAAAATCCGCACAAAACCACGAAAACAATAGATAATTTGTATTATTTGATGAAAGGGAAATGGAAAATAGTAAGATACAATTAATCCTCTATTTGAGAGGAGGATCTATCTCTCCCAAATCTCTAGACTCTGCTAGAGCCCAAAGGAAACCTAAACCTAATAGGTTTCAAATTTCAGCCAAACTCAAGATGCCCTAAACCTTGGAAAACAATATATTTAATGCATAATATTCAAAAGGAAATCTCTAAATAGTCCATACATTCAAATTTCCCTCTTAACTCCCTAAAAAAAACTTCCTAAACCACTCTTTCCGTCATGGCGGCTTGCGCGATGCGTACAGGAGGTGGAGAGTTCTGCCCCTTTTCGCGTAAGCCGGTCCACACAGGACTGGCTGGACCGGCCCTATGGACCGGTCTAACAGACTCTTCCTTCTTCTAGAATGTATCAGGGTTAAATACACTGTTGGCCGAATATTTTGCAACCAAAAAGCATAAGCCAGTTGATGCAGTCCAATCACTAGTATATTTGCACGCATTTATTTTTTAGCTTTCTAGTGTGAGGCAGAACCTAATACTCTCTTGTTTCTGATCAGTAATAACACAAGTAAGAACTACTTTTCAAGCTAATGAATCAACATGCCATGCATCTTCTTGATAATTTTTAGATAAATTGCAGTGTATAGCTAATGATAAAATGCTGGAAACTGTTATCCATTTGCCTATGACTGTTGTTTTATTTTGTTAGTGTTACATTTGCATCGATTATATTCATGAAACTGATTTCATTTGATTTGGTACATATTCATTATTTAGCCTACTTATGGAAGAGAATTGGGCTGGTTTGCATGCCTTCATTATACAGTTATCTTTCTGCAATTCATGCAATAGATGCTATAGGACATGTGTCTTATAGCTAAACCAGTGTTTGTTGTAAAAATTTTCTAGAACATTCTGGAAGTTGGCTCAGATCATCCATGTGATAGAGATATGTTCAGAGAAACTTATCTGGATCCTGCTTCTATGGTTCCTTGTAAACTTTCTGAAAACATTTTAAGATGTATTGCTGCTATCTACTGCAAACTTGCAAATATACCAAAAGCCCAGAAAGACAAAGTGGTTTTGCATGCTTCTTCATTCTCCTTTTCAAGCACAATTTCTCAACAAAGCTCTGGTGGAAATTGTAGTCCAAGATACCAACATGAAGCTATTGCTAGTCCCTCACTTTCTGAAGTGCAGAAATTCGAAGAAGACTTCTATAGCGACATGATCGAAATTCCGAGGATCAGCATTGATGGTGAACGATTTGGTTATGCTTCCAAAATGTTGAGCATTTTCAGGTGATCCTTTTCTTCAATGTAAAACAAGATTTAATTTTATTTTATGCAGTCTTTTTTTTTTTTTAACTTTGTCAAATGGTTAATGTCAGACTTTGGCAGGAATAATAATATTTCATTGATTTTTCCTAGTTTTGCTCAACTGTCAACATTTTTGAGGATTTTCCCGAGAAATTAATAGGTACGGAATCGGGACGTAGAGATACGTTCGAACATCCAATTAAAATGTGACATTTGGAGTGTGCTTTGGTTACACCTTTTTGTGCACTTTAGTTGCGCTTTACCAGCGCTTTAGTTGTACTTTAGTTGTGCTTTGATTGCTCTTTTGTTGTGCTTTTTACTGCGCTTTATTTCCGCTTTGGCTGTGCTTTTGGTGCGTTTGGCTTAAAGTTCCACTGACACATTAAATATATAAAATAAAAATTAAATCTAATTGAATATCCATGTGTCTACTCTACGTGTCAATATTTTATTGGAGTCCGGACGTATCTCTACGTTCAGACTCCGCACCTAATAATTTCTCGTAGATCAGACCTCCTTTGGTAAGGAGAAAAGAAAGGGAAAAATAGAGAGTAACTTAATTATCAAATTAAACAAAGTGAAGCCCTTAGTGTACACATAAAATGTCATATGATGCATGTTTTAGCATTTGCTTTTAAGGGCATACAATTCAACCATTTTCACTTTGATAATGATTAAAGATTCATCAGACTTTATTCTGCTTTCTTTTCAGTAAAATTTGCTCATTTTGCAGAATCTTAGTTAAGCAACTCAAGTCAATTGACCCAACAAAGATGGCAAATGAAGAGCAGATTGCTTTCTGGCTAAATATTCACAATGCCTTGGTTATGCATGTATGATGTAATCCGATATTGCGAGGAGTTGTATATCATGAAAATATGTTTACTCTGTAATGTTTAAAGTTCATGGCGCACATGCTAATTTTATCACCTGAAATTTATGACTTATGCAGGCTTTTTTGGCATATGGTATTCATCAGGGTCGCATGAAAAGTAAATCATCAATTCTCAAGGTAGAATAATAGAATCCTTTCCACTTACAAAATGTCCTTTTAAACTCTTGAATAAGCTTTCCAAACTATAAAAATTATAGTTTTTTTTTCCAGGCAGCATATAACATTGGCGGTCATTCGATAAATGCTTATGTTATTCGAAGATCAATCCTTGGTTGTCAGCCCAATTTTAAAGCATCAGTATGTCTACTAGTATCTCAAGACCTTAAATTGAGAAATTATTCTGTACGGATACTGGATCATCCGGAGGCGAATCAGAGCGTGGCACGTCACCGGGTACATAGCGGTACATAGCCACGATACACAGCAAAGGGGTGATGTGGCATGCTCTAATTTGTCTCCAGACGGCATCCGGTGTCCGCACAGAATAATTTTTCACTTAAATTTTAGTTCAGAAGCATATAAACTTGTACGAATTAACAGGTCCGAAACTTCAAAATGATTATTTCTTTCATTCTTTGGAATTAAAAATGCAGTGGATTGAAGTGCTCATATCTCCAACTTTAATGTTCAAGAAAAGGCATCAGAGACATCTATATTCTCTTGATCACCCACAGCCACTTGCTTATTTTGCATTGTCCCAAGGATCTTTCTCTGATCCACCTGTATGTCTGCACTCCTGACTCCCAAATCATTTCTTCTTTTTGCTTTGTTGATACTACAATTTTGTACTGAAATGCCGCGACGAAATGAAATGATTTCAGGTGCGAGTTTACACAGCCAACCATATTATGCGAGAATTAGAGCTTGCGAGGAAAGAGTTTATTCAGGCCAATGTAAAGGTTCAAAATAAAACCAAGATCATTTTCCCAAAGATATTATGCTACTACATGAAAGATTGTTCCTTTCAGATTGCCAAGCTTCTTAAGATGGTGATTGAGTGCATGTCAGAGACTGTTCAAGGTGCCATCCATGAATTTCTGAAAGGAAAGTATGATGACTGCATCGTTTGGTCCAAGTACAATTCTTCATTCAGATACTTGATACATAAAGAACTAGCCAGGCAGTAGAGGTCTATTCATCAAGCTTCTTCTATCTAAAGAGATTGTACAGATGGTTCTTATACACTGTCCCATAAGGAAAATCAAATTGTATTATTTCATGTTCAGTATATTTCTTATATTTTATCTGTAAGCAATGAGTTTTTTTTTTGCTGGAGGTGCATTGAAGCTCCTGCAAGCTTTTGTGTAAGGCCCATCATGTATATAACATGCCATCTATGAGTAGATGCAAAAGAATTGTAGTAAATGCAAATACTTGTAGACAACACTAGAAGATGCACATTCAATGCAGCTTGTCCACATGCAACTTGCCCACAGGTGGTAGCAAGAGGCTGGTGATGCATACAATGACCCGCATATAAGTATTGATAGCAGAACAATAGATAATGCAGTAGCTTGCTCACAAGAAACTGTAGGAAACTCGCCATACACACTACATATTATCCACAAGTAAATGCAGAAGAGTTGTTATAAATGTAGGCACCTACAAGCAACATTGGAAGGTACGCACTAAGCACAGTTTACCTACAGGAGAAAATCAAGAACCCGCCATTTATGCGACAGTTCTCATGCAAATGCGTGATGCAGTACATGCAAGCATTGAATCATCATGCTAATGTGTTATGCAAGCAAACATATTGCATGTTGATGGAGGCGGTAGAGTAACCTAAAGAATTGTAAAAATGATGTAGAGCTATATCAATCCCTAAACAATGCATATGTTTTCTTTTATAAAAAATTTATAAAATTCTCACTTAATATATGCAAGTATACATGCTGAATCAAAGAATATAATGATAGAGTATAGTATCGATTCCACGATGAAGAATATTTATAAATACTGCTACTATCTACTTCAATTACAATAATTATCCTACTCAATTAAAATAAGATTTGATGGAGATTCAATTACTTAATTTAAAATAAAAAATAATTAAATGAAATACTATTTGGATAAATTAGTTTGGATCGATGAAATGTAAATATAATATGTTTCCTAATGATGCTCTTTTATATTGATGTTATTCAAAGCATATGCATCACCGACTGCTTAGTCAAGCGTAAAGTGATAAATGATAGATTAAACTTTTCTAACCTCAATACCACTCTAAACTCTCTTAGTTTGTCACCCTATAAAAATCTTAGTAGAGTAAGTACAGCGTGTACTGTTAAAACCCAATCATGATAATTTATCTTTATAAATTTGATACATGACAAACAATATGCATATGCTTATATCATATATCAATCCAACATATTTGGTTGTGCCTGCTTTCATATTCTTAGGCTCTACATTACATCTGATATTAACTACAAATATGATCACTATGTGCATTAAAAAAAGACCTGGTATATTAAAAACATCATGAAGTTATTATTGCAGAGAACTCATTAGTATTCCATATTTTATTTACACCATCAATCCAAAAATAGAGAATTTAGTCTAATATGAAGAATAAGTAAAATATATTCATTTTCATTAATTGCACAAAAAAAAGAATGTACAAAAGAAAATATATCATCAGATGAGTTTGATGATCTCATCTACACTCCTCTTTGAACTAATACAAAACTAAAAAAAAATGTGACTGAACTCTCCTATTAACATTACAAATAAATTATTTATAGAAAAAATATAAAACATATTATGGAGCCACGATGCTCGAGACACTTGTGCCGCGACACCCATAAAATGAACTAACACCGCAGCATTAAAGGGTTTCCTTAGCTGCGATACTTGCTGACATGGACCAACTGTTTAATGAATTGATGTGTCGCTTCATTGGTAGATCGTGACATGAATAATTACAATTGAAGCGTTGCAGCGCTGCTAACGGTTGAGCACAGTGACATCCATATGGCACTCCTTGACTTAGTGACGCTGGAATTTGGTATCGCGGTGTTGTGGAAACAAAGATTGGGCTTTACGGTGCTGACTTCTCCAACATTGCGGTGTTGGGATAGTTAGCTTGGCTTTGCGGCAATAACTCATTTAATAGTGCGTCATTGTCAAAGAGAGCCCCGACGAGCGTGTTATAGATATACATGTGACGTGTGATGTCTAAGGATGTTGTGTGAGTCAAAAAATGAACTTAAGTTCGAGCCCGATCTTTTTATATGAATAGATAGAAGTCCACACAGCTCAAACTATCAAAGAAATATATAGTCGCAGCATCGACCAGGATATTTATTTTATATATTCATATTAGACTTTCAAGGTTTATAACAATGAAAATTTACTAATAAAGACAGAAAGCTGACAATGAACCTGATCTTCTATCGGCAAGTTGACACAGTAGATAAGGTTTAACCAATAAGATAAAATTGCCTATAAGTAACCCGATGATGGTCATGTTGACAAAAAATCTCAATCGGAGGGACCCCAAACATTAAAATTATCTACTAAATTCTCATGAAAATTCAAAACTCAAAAGGCACAAAAATCTAAAATATTTAAAATTAAAATATTAAAATATTAAAATACTTAAAGCAAAATTCATCCACATTTTGCAATAGTTTGCCGATGTTGATAAATTTGAAAATCACTTCAGCTCACAAAGAATAAATGTCTAGTTGAGAATATCACTAGGATTTATTCTAAATCTATCTCTTACCATTAAGGATGTAGCATGTGTCCCCTAACTAATGGTTTCGCTTCCAAATTGTACCACAAGTAAACGGTTGTGATCGGGACCCTCTAACCAGGTAATTTTGCCATTAAATTATGGTCAAAGGTAGAGCTCGTATGTTTCCTTATAGCACTAAATCATTTAGTAATGAATCAATAGGGCACAAAGCCCTCTTTTAGCTAAGGTGGCTTCAAATTTCTCTACTTAAGAGTTTACAATGTACCCTTGGACGAAACAATCCATCACTGCCGACAATGATCATTCTATCACCTTGGGTCGAGTACCTCCTCTAACTAAGTAGACTAGGGATCATGATGACCCCAGACGATGGAACCATGTGATCTCAATCGGGTCTATCATCATTTCACCCACCATTTGCTTTAAGTGCAAGGTAGTGAATTTCTATTTTTAAATATTAAATTTTCAAATAACAAGTCAAACTAGTACTATACGTCGGATACTACATATTTATCTGAAGACTAGCCTTAATCGAAAGCTCTCTCTCACTATTAAGAGGGGTAATTAACTATAGAGGTTTGCGTCTATAGGAAACATGAACTCATATCATGAAGTCCTTGCAAAATGAGAGCGAAATCACTGGATAATGTCTTGTTCAAAACCCAATCTGCCTTCTGAAAATTTGCCTTGAAACATACTCATTAAAACTCTTCTCGACGACACGAAAAAGGGAAAGGGGCCGCAAAGAGGCCGGGGCGTGAATTTTCAAAGCTCACAAGAACTCTCTACTGAATCAAATCTTATCTTAATGTTACATTGTCACCATAGATGATAGTGGTCTTGATGCTTTCTTTTTCTTATGCATTAAAAGAAACATATATTAGGACATAAAGAAATATTGACAACCATTTTATTGGACTATAATAAATATTGTGCTTCATCAGACCACTTCTAATGATGATATACATGGCCTTTATCCCTTATCTCTTGAAGGTTATTATATCTAGGAAATACTTCACCAATCCATCCTTAAAAAGACTAGTGACTCTAGCAATCTTATTCCTATGGTTACTTATTATGTCCTTGTCAAGGTTCTAATACTCAAAATATGATTTTCTTAATAATCTAAACCATTATGCAGCTTTAAATTATTCCTACCAATGATCACATAACCTCAATCTCAATCATATAATTGAGTTTATTTAATCATCCAAGTAGCTTGATCAAGATCTTAGTGCCTATTCGATTGTTCATTGTCCATGCCTATTCTCTCACACTAATTTTGTTGTGACAAAGGGGAGAGACTTATGTATTATAAATTTAAAGTTTTATTAAAAATATTGGAGTCATCTTTAGAAGTTATATGAAATGAAAATTTTGTACTAAAAAACTGCTTCATAAAATAATAAGAAAGCTATCCCAAATGAAACCTAAATCATCATTCACTTGTGAGTGGATTTACAAAATTCTTAAGAGTAAAAAACTTTAGTCTCATTTTATATTTTTGTCATGCCTTTCATGCTCATTCATACAAGTTTTAATTTTAATATTGAAATATTATATGAGTATTTATATATCTTGATCATATTAATTGATGCATAAATTCAAATCTCTTAAATGTTTTAATGATGGCATAATTTGTCTCACACGTTATATTATATCAGTTTAAGTAAAATATTAAGCATGATAATATTGCTATACTCAGAAAATCTTTTCAAATTATGTAAATAAGGCAACATGATAAAATGGCAGAAAAATTATCTTTAAATATTATATGAGAGTTAAATGTGGTTAAAAATGGGTATCATAACATGAAAATATATTAATTATTCCTTTTGCATATGGAGGCTTATGTGCAACACTCTAATGTAAATCACCATAGTACAAAGTGATATTTTTGATGCCATAAAGTATTATTCTAATCTAATGAAGTGATAAATATGATTATTATATTATATTTTAATAATAAGATTTGTGATAAAAATTATTATATGAACATTCACCACTTGATAGTTCTAAGTTCTTTCAAATGTAGACTATTCATTCCTTTCTACTAATTGAAATTCAATTTTTCATTTATAATTACATGTATTTCTGCTTACCTTTATTTGCATATAATCACTTGAATACAAAAATATTTTATTTGGCCTCCTCTCCTGAAGTATTTCATCATATCCCACTCAAATACCTTCTTCATATCTCATATTATGGCCATTCAAACGATTAATTATTCTGTGCGGGAACCGAACGTCATCTGGAGGCAAATCAGAGCACGCCACATCACCCCCTTGTTGTGTACCTCAGCTATGTATCAAGTGATGTGGCACGCTCTGATTTTCCTTCAAATACAGAGCTACATTCGATATCCGCACAGAATAATTTCTCCATTCAAATAGAGATGGAACATAATGTGTCAACACATATGTTGAGGAACTTGCAACAATATGAATAAAAAATCACAACATAAGAGCAACATTTTCTCTCTTTATATATGTAGATGAGCGTTCAATCTGTATTGTTTATGTATACAAGAGCATTTGTTGATGAGCATTATCAACACAAACTGTACAGAAAGTAGTATAGACTTCCTCAACCAACATTGTCAATGGCTATTGACTGGAATATAACCTGGAAAATTATGCAGATTCCATTTGTCAAAGCCATGAAAAATAACAAATAAATCAGAGATAACGTCCCACTTTTTCAGATAAAATGAGATGTTCAAGCTGTTTGATTGGAACTGCGACGATCCTTTCTATCTTTCAAATGTTTTTCTTCTTGTATTTCTTTTCTGTTTCTTGGATGCCTTTCTTCCTGCAACTCTTTTTTCTCTAGTGAATTCCTTTCTGCTTGCATCTCTCTTCTCTCTGTTGAATATTTTTCACCTTGCAACTCTTTTCTCTCTCTTGAAGGTCTTTCTTCTAAAATTTCTTCCATTTCTTCATCATCTCCACGTTTACCAGCTTGCTCCTTCCAATAGGCAACCATTTTCTTCAAACGAGCAATCTCTTTGGAGGAGACATTCTTACTTGGATCATTCACAATACACCTAACTCTAGATGCATACCTGAAACATTATCTCAAAACATTGGAAGCAATTACAGACAGATTTATCAGAACAAAACAATAAATATAAATGTTTGAACTTTGAAGCATATATAGATTGCAGGTACTCAAGTTAAATACAATAAGCTAGAGAACTTCCTTTCCAAACATTTATGTGGCTTGAATGTTAATTCATTATGGAATTCAACTAGATCAGTTCAGTTTTATGAAAACAAAGTGTGTGAGGCAAAGTGTTTAAATGATAAACTTTCATACTACCAATCATCCCAGATCAAGATCTGAACCTTTTAAGCCTGAATTATTGGAGACTTACAGGTAAATTTGTTTGGCTGGTGATGTTGCATGAATTCACATATTATGCTACAAAAATCACATAAATCTAAATTGAATGTAACAAAAATGAGAATACCATGAATATGATAAAACTAGAAATAATAAAAAAAGAAATGACTATATTGGTGTAGCATTTATTAAAGATAAGGTAACTAAAAATAAAATTAGGTGATTTAGACATGCACAATGACTGATAGAAAATGCACCACATAGATAGGTTGATAAAATTAATGTTAGAGTATGAGGGAGGAAGAGGAGTATGCCTAAGATTATATGAATACAAATTCTTTAAAATTACTTACAAAGAAGTTTAACAACTCAGACAACTCTCAACAAAAATAAATAAAAATAAAGATTAATAAGTTCGACCTCAAATAATTGGGATAAGGCTAATAATGATGAAGATAAACTATATGATTTGAAGTATTATTCTATCAGCTCATCTTTTATCATCATTATTCTTGCAAAAGTTGGATTTGAGTTTCACATATTTTTATTCCACCAGTTGAAGTTCAATATTTTTGGCATGTCCTCACCAAGGGAAAAGAAACAAAATATCTATGCAATACTTTGCTCCTAATGGGCTCAAAAAGAGGGAAATCTAGCCTGAAAGAAAATGAGATGAATGGCATACAACAAAAATGAATTGTAATTTTCAACCATATAAACAATAAAGGAAACTTGAACCCTCAAGATGAACGCCTATTAGAAGCAAAAAAATAAACAAAAAATTAAGTAACGAAAAGAGAATTTACACAAGAGAGTTGTATGTTTCATCCAAATTTGTCTCAGCTGGAGACGCATTGACAAACATTAGTGTCTTTGCATTGCCACCGAGAGAATCACTCATCAGCATTGTCAACTTATGGTTCCTGTAAGGTATGTGTTGATCCTCAGAACATAAGGCACTTATCACATCTCCAAGAGCAGAGAGAGATTTATTAATGCTTTGAGCTTCTTTCAACTGATTTCCTGAAGAACCGGACTTCTTTATCCTTTCGGAACCCGCAAGATCTACAAAACTAAGCTATAATATTGCAACAAAAAAAAAGGATCAATATAGTTAGAGAGTATGGTAAAACTCAGATAAACCACAATATGACTGAAGCACTTCATAAAATTTTTTATTAAAGTTTTTTAAAAATAATAAATGCAAGAATGAAATGTTTATTTTAGCAAGTGCAGATTTACCTTTCCCCTTGCTATAGTTTGAGTTTGAAGATTGGTGCTTTCAATTATGATAGACAATATCAAATGTGATCTTGAGCTATCATCATTCATTTGGGTTCCAGCTACATGTCGTCGCTCAGAGCCCATCTGAATAACAGCCATCAATTCTTCAAAGCTTGACACTTGTAGAATTGTGACATTTTCTATAGAAACCATTCCCTGCGTGACAAGAATTTCAAGATATCAGAAAGAAAAAGCATCCATGAATCTTCAAATATTTTTCTTACATTTACAACATGTTTATGCAGAAAAATATTAGATTCTAGTTTTTCCACGCAAAAAATGGAAACTTAAGGCAGCCATTTGAAGAAAGAAAGGAAACACTTCCATCAAAATAAAAAAAAAATATGAAATCGATTTAATTGTGAGGTAATAACACGGAAAACCTTAAAAATAATAAAGCCAAACAACTTAACATTAAGACAACTTTTGATATATAGGTTGGGGTCTCATTGGGAACTCAAAATTTAAACATGCTCATATTGGAGTAATCCTCCTCAAAGTTGCACATAAGGGACAAAATCATGAGACCTATAAAACCAATGTATATACCATCTCTATTGAGGGGTATAAAAATTTTCTTATTGACTTAGTATGTTGCGCCTAAAAAAGTCATACAACATATACAATAAGGAAACAACTAAAATAAATTAAAACCCCCAATTATGAGTATATCAAAAATATATATTCCTAATATAATCACCTGTAAATAATAGGAATCCTAACTAATATTCTAAAAATTCTAATGCTCCCCCATAATATGAAGCATATATATCTATTAGCTCTAGCTTGTTACATAAATAAGAAACAAATAGTTGACCTACATATTTAGTAGAAATATATTGTTTTAAATTGAAAACATGAATAGTAAAAACGTTTTTAGAAAGCACGACATCCAATATAAAATGAGAATCTACTTCAACGTGTTTAGTTCATTCATTGGAAAAAATTACTGGCAATATAGTTGGAGGATAGTCACATACATTTAGTAATAAGAAAAACTAGCTCTCCTCAAAGACTTTTTAACAACTTCACTTCACATAAAAAAAGCTACATTGAGAATTTAATTAAATCAGATTACAAAATCTATTTAGTGGCTTTACAGGTAACAAACTTTCCCCTGACAAAGATGCAATATCCTTAGCTTAAAAAATAAGAAATAATTAAAAAAAAAAATCTTTGAGTTAACTGCAAGCTTCAATTGAGCTGGCATAATCTATATCGTAGAATGTTTCAATATTCAAATGTTCTGTTTTAGCATACAACAACATTTTCCTAGAGGCCTTCTAATATAGAAACCATAGCCCTTGGAATATTTAAATTCACGCCACCTTTTAGAGCAAAATTTGAATTTTGGCAAAATTAGAAACAATGATTGCAACAACTTCACTTCTTCAAGCGTACATTACATCAAGTGGAGAATTGTCTCTTCCTTTAGGCAACATCCATATTTTCTAATTTGTATTTCCTTACTTTAATTAAAATTGCTTTTTTTCTTATATGTTGAGTAGTTGTCTTATAATTAGGGGTGTAAGTGAACCGAGCATGCTCGAGCTCGACTCGTTTATGGGCACGCGAGCCGAGCTTATCAAGCTCACAAGTCGAGCTAGAGTTCGAGCTTGATGAGGCTAGGCTCGTGAACTCGCAAGCCTGCTCGAATAATTTTTGGATTTTTTAAAATTTAAATAATTATTATTTTATTATATATATATGTCAAATGTCAAGGGAAAAAACATTAAATGTTAATATCAAATCTTATTAAATTTTTGGCTCATTCTTGTTGTCAATTGTCAAATGTCAAAGCATTAAATGCTAATACTTGATACAAGAGAAAAAGCTAGGAAAAGCTGATTTATCCAAGGGAAAAAGCAACGTAGGACTCCAACTATTGGCCACTTGGCCTCAACCACCTTGACACCTTCTATTACCCAAGGGAAAAAAGCAATGGAGTGATGAACTATGCGGACAATTTCTCTATTGGCCGAAAAATTGGGCGGGAAATTCCAAATGGCGGGCGGGAAAACCAGAATCGAGCAACTCAACGAGCGGCTCGGAGAGCTCGTTTTTATGTCGCAAGTTGAGCTCGAGCTCGACTCAAGTTCGAGCTCGGTATTTGTCGAGCTTGAACACCCCCTGACTCGAGCTCGACTCGACTCATTTACACCCCTACTTATAATTAACAAATTATTGGTGCGAATTAAGTTGTCTAATTAGTCACCTCCATTACAAGGCCAAGTTATTTTGCTATAAGTGCGCCCTACCAATTATTTTTTTCTAGAGCATTACAATATTGAATGGGTGAAAATCACAACAAATCAGTTAACTTTACAACAACTTATTTGTGGAATAAATCCTTACTTGAGTACACTAATTTTAAGATTGTACTGTTACACAGTTGTGTATGTATTTTATTGATTTTGATAATTAATTGTGGCACATCTTAATTAAAGATAAAGATTAAATTTTTATCATTTCATTTCATTCATTGTACCATATTTCCAAAAGCACAACAAATCATTTGCTTGTCCAACATGCCACCTAAGTCATGAAGTGCAAGGCAATTAGAAAGTTTGAATAAGTCTTTATAAGTCTTATCAACTAGATTTCATAACCTTTGAACTTAGGAATCAAGAATATCACCATGAGAGGAAAAAGTTTAAATCCAAAACCTATCCAGTCAAGTGCAAGAAATATTGGTACAATTACCTCAATTGTCACTTAGGTTAAAAGCCCAACCTCGTAATTTTGTACAACATATTCATGAGCTTCCCATGGAGTCATGATGCATAGCGCACGCTGCGGCGCGTACCATTTTGAATAAGGGGCAAAATAAAAAAGAATTATAAAAATATTTATATGGATCCTATTTTAGAGTATCAATCAAGTTGGGTAAGGCTTAGTTGAATATGTTTGTGGGCAAGTCCAAACCATTAAAGTGAGCTTCAAATTCTTTCAAAATTTTCTACTAAAATAAAGTCTAAATAAAATCTAATAAAACCTAACTAAACTATTTTAATCATATCAAATAATTTTGAAATTAATTATTATATTATTTTAGAAATTAAAATATATAAATATTAAAAACTATTTATAATTATATTAAAAATTACCTAAAATTCAAATTGCGCACGTCGTGGAGCAAATGTCGAGCCCCAATTTAAACATCTGCGATGTGCCATGCAGTTGGCGTCATAGGTGCGCCGCCATTTACGCCATTGAAAAGGATGGTTAGTAGGGTACCATCTCATAGAAATAGTGTTAGAAATGATAAAGTCACTAATCTTAGAAAAATGTTAAGTTAGAGTTACCTACTTTTGATGGTATTCATTATCCCAATAGATTCTTGACTGGCATGATTTTACGATTATCAAAGAGCTTCCTTTGCTAAAATCATGCTTATATGGCATGTCAAGGTATAATGGACTAATGAATTAAAAAAGGAGGAAAGATTAGGTACTTGGTTTGAAATAAAGGAAATGATAAGGATAAAATATTGTCCAAAGCATCAATGCCAATGAACTCTATAGCCATCTTGTGAACTTAATAGAAGGGACCCTACATGTGATTACCAAATTGGTGATAAGCCAGTAATTTTGTTATAGGTCAAAGAATTGAAATTAAGTATAACAATGAACTTCATTATCCTCAAACCCAAGAGGGTGGATTCTATTATGCATTAATAGTAGAAAAACAAAAGAATGCACCGTAATGCACTAGGCCTCAAGGTCCTAGTCCCTAAACATCTAACTCTAGGTTTAGGCATAATTCTACATGGTGCCTATCTCATCCGATAGTTCTACATCGAAAAATTTCGCAAGTTCAAAAACTAGAAACACCAAGGATAATATATTTTTTATGTGTCATCAGAAGGGACACATGCAAAATAATTGCAAGGCATAAATTTCATCAATGGGAGAGACTATTAAAGAAGATAAGATTGAGAAAATTAAAGATAAAGACTCCTTTTTCTGATTATGAGTTGAGTGTTGTCCTCTTAACTGTAATTAGATGTCTATTTGTGTTTAGGATATATTTTGATGAATATAAAAGGAAGACTATATCTCATATTTTGAGTCCATAAATTGATGCAAGCAAAATTTTGGGAAAAGCCCCAAATTTTTGCAAGCAAAAGATAACTCTTCCTAGGATAAAAGAAAATTACACAAATACTCAAAAAGACACTTTTTATAATATAAAGGACGCTTACAAACTTTTAAAATAAAGACACCTTAAACTTGCTTTGCCAATCGTCGAGAAGAAGGATACATGTGGGTTGGTACTTGTGGAGAGAAGTAAGAGGTTAGAATACTAGACGAAGTAGAGGAATAACTCGCAAGTTATCCAAAGAAAGAGAAGAAGAAGTGGAACAAGCTCTCAAGCTTTTCCAAGAAAAACCCTCAGGTTTTGCTGTCCAAAAATCACATTATAACAACCCTAAAAAACTCAAAACAATCTCTAATTTATAAGAGAAAAGAGGGCGGCCAAGGCCCCAAACCGAGAACAGCAAGCAGCCCAAGGACAAGAAAGACCCAACTTGATTTGACCCCCCCTGCCAACATCAATTCTCCTCCGGTTGAAGAAGCTCATCACCCGATGAGGTTGCTTTAGGTTTCTTTTGACGAGGCAAAGGAGGCACTTTAAGCTTATGAATTTTTGCTTCATACCTTTTTAGGATCTCTTCTCGTTCATGCAGAAATTTCTTTCTGTTCTCGAATTTCTCCGAACACAAGTACATTTGATATTGAATTTTATACAACTCGTTTTGTAGGGGATTTGTAGAACTTTCTTGCGATGGAATCTCATCTACAGTTGGAATCTTCACATCTTGAATAAGTGGTTGATTTATAACTTTGGCAGGATCAAATTCTTGGGACTCATTTGAATCTTGATATGAGGCTTTTGAAGGATGATTGCATGGACCATCCATTTAGACTCAAAACAAAAACTCAAAAACTCTCATGACAACTAACATGACACCAAGACACACACGACAACCATGCTTTGATACCAAATTGATACAAGCAAAAATAAGGCTTTCTCCTAATTTTTGCTTGCATCATAAATGAATTGTCTTCTACATAATGCCCAAAAGATAATATGCCTTTCATGTTTTAAGCATAAAAATTAATGATCATTTCTATCCAATGGGATGGGAGAATCCAATCCTTCATACCTCCCTATTGCATGAGTCTACCTCAACAAATCTAATATGAGCAATTCCTTGGTAAAAAAATTTTATGCGGGTGATGATTTCAAACATGAAACATTTGGGTATAGAATTCCACCTAAAAACTTCATCAATTTGCCACTATTATTGTCATATGTGTCCATATGTATGGGGAAAAAAATAACATTACTAACAAAATATAATTTTGAGACGAGCAACAATGCAGGAAAAGATCATAGACAAGTGAAATGCATGTTCATCAAAAGTAGAAGATCGAACAAAAAAAATCGATGACAACAACACAATGGGAGAATAGAAAATTCCAAAATATTGTGAGACTTGCTAGGATAACAACAACAACAACAACATCATCAAGCCTTTATCCCACTACGTGGCATTATTGTTCGACAAGTTTTACGCTGGCTGTCGACTACCTAACGCAACCCTCCACTTTTCTCATCCAGGACTTGGGACCTGGCAACGGCATTATGTTATCCAAGACTTGCTAGGATAACGAATAGATAAAAAATTCACAAGAAATTATGAGACAATATTAGAGTGTTTTTCAAGGAGTCACAATGTCTTCCTTAGAGATGACGATGGGGAGGCTAATCAGCCACATGGACATTAAGAGGCAAGAAATAAATTAGAGGAATATTCTCTTGCTATTAGATTTTATGCATTGCTCTTAAGATTTCATGCAGTACATTACACAAAATACAAAACAAGATTAAGTCGATGCTTAACAAATCCATTGACTTATTATTATGGCAATAACTTAGATATTCTCTATGACTTCTCTCCAAACTGAACACTTCGATAAGCTTCGTAAGCTAGAAATAACCGAGCAGTACTCAACCATAAAACTCAAATGACAGCATAATTGTATGACCACAAAAGACTCCAAAAGAAAATCTATTACACATCTAAATGGATCAATTCAAATAAAAATTCATTTTCCACAATATTTGTGTGCCTCCAAAGTTATCTTTTCAAACTAAATGTTGTAATGGTACTCTCCTCATTGGCACATACTGTGCAACACAATCCTAATCTTCTTAATCATCTTCTAAAGTGCCCCATCAACTTGTGTCTGAATTTGTTATGTTTCCTATAGCCAATAAGCTAACCTCTTTTTGCTTCCCCAAAACATGATGCACCAAGCGACTTGGAAAATCTTAAGAACTTCAACATCGCCAGAACGCTTCTACCCTTCAACACTAAAGAGTAATCAAACATAATAGATTTTTTCTCAAATTTGTAACATGCTATGGATTCAAGGTCAAATTTTCAAATGAGAGATTATATTGCAAAAAAAAAAAAACTACCTAGAGATTTTATCTTTATTTTGCGAGGTCTTTAAGATTGAGCTTCAAGTTTCTCATAAGTGCAGCGTGTAGTGGTAGAAATTTTTGTTTTAAGATTGACAGAAATGTACAAACATTAGCTAAAAGCAAGTAGTGGGGGAAATGATGAGGAACTTGATCAAAATCTCATGATTTGATCATCTTGGATTATTATAGATGTTGATTTAAATAGTCAATGAAGGCAAACATCCTAACTAGACCAAATGATTCTTGTCGACATTTACGGGTTGCATTGTCCAAGAAAATCTTGTAGATCTCGGTAGATAGTTGTTTAAGAGGGCGATTTTTTAGTCAATTTTAGCTAGCAAATGTATTTGAATTTTGAACTTCTAGTTCTCAAAATAATTGTGAGATTTTTTTTTAAAATATTGCACGCTTCTTAGGGTGAACAAATTTAAGTCCATTTCTCTTTCTCATTTAGTATGTGTATCATTCTTAGACTTAAAATCTAAAAGTTTGGCGTATTTATTGTAGCACAAGTGGGCAAGTTTGATTTTGACACTTTTGCACGCTCAATACACATGTACAATGTACTTGCATGCTTGACACACAAAATACATAAACATATATGTACGTGTGTCAATTCACCACTTAATACTTTTATTGTTTGCATATGTTGAGTATTGATCCTTGTTTTGTGCATAGGTGAATTTTCACCATTTCTGTCATGCAACAAAATAGGTAATATTGGGCATCTTTCTTGAGTATTTATGATGTTTTGAACACATCGGTGCAATGCATTTCATGAAATGGGTAAGATTTGGATAAGTTTCATTTAGATCAACGTGCTTTGAATGGGACTTACGCGGCATCACGCCAATCATCTATCATTCTCATCTCAAATAGTTGGGTCGAATTGTGGAGCATACATGGAGGCCAACACATGCCTAACTACAGCTAATGTCCTAGTCACCATCATACATCCTCAAATATGATGAAAAAAACAAAAACCTCGCATGCATTACCATTTTCCATGAAAACATAACCACCATATGACATATAAGTAGAAAGAATATCCTTGTCAAGACATATGAGATATATAAGCGAGTCAAAAAATTCATTGATCATAATATTTGAGTCCTACAGCCATTGAAAGAACACCTAATTTATATCAGATATATTTATTATTATATTAGTATCCACTTACTTGACCTTATAATTCTAATCTTAATGCTACTCCATCCTCTACAATGCATGATAATCTCTTCGCCAAGACATGATCATGGTCATAATCACACTTGAATATATTTAAGCAAGCTTCTAGGGATTCCCTTAGGATGTTCTTTGCTTAAAGCATTAGACTAGCATGCTACGTAAAACAACAACAACAACATCAAGTCTTTATCCCACTACGTAAAACTACAATGAGAGAAAACCTAGAGCTCTAGCATAAAAGTATCCTGTGCACTGTAGATACAATTGAGATTATGGTGATCATCCAAGTGTTTCAAGTAAACAGGGATGATGAACAAACCAAGCTGGAAAAAATTGAAGCAGCTTCCTATGTCGGTGGACTGGATCCCTAGTTTTTCATTTACTGTTTGGTCAATTTGGATTAATATTTTCAGTGGAATGGAGGATCAAGTGGGCCTGATCCACCAAAATGAAGTTAAATAATCAAACCAAAGTTCATTAGTCCAGTGCCAATGGAAGAAACACGAGTATGTTATGAAAAAGAACATAGTAGGAATGAGATGAAGAATCTTAAAAGGGAAATTATCTCCCAGTGGTGTATCCAGCTCTGTTGACAGACAACTTGACTACTGAAGTTCACAAAACTAAATGGCTAGTCTAGACAGTTTTTTTTATTATTGTGATTAAATGAGGGCATCAAGGTGATATTGTCCAGATTTAAGTACATTACGTTGCAGACGTTTGAATTGAGTAGGTATCTATGATTGAGGACATATTGAATATTGGTTTTATATTGGTACCAAGCACAGGAAACTTTCTCCCATATGCATGTGGCCACCTAGCCAAATTATGGAGCCACTTAAGTGTCTTGATTTGTAACTTGTAAATCTATAACAGGGAACTGTATCCCTGAAGCTAAGTATCATTGAATAATGATATAAACAAATCCTGGAAGGGAAACTATATCAGATATGTTGGATTTTGGGTAGAAACAATACCCAACTGTTATCAAGCATCACCTAAAGCAAGATTATGAGTCCAATTAGTAGTAAACCAACAAAGCACATGCATAAAAAGGATAAAAATCATTAAAGATTTCCTCTGAATTTCATTACATTACCTATAATAGCACTATAAAGCTATCATGTAAAGAGTCTGAGGACTCTAAACTCATGCATGAGGATGAAAAGTGAAGCATAAATAAGTAAATTAGATAAGTTGAATGGAGAAATGGTGGATAAGACCAAACTAATTGTTGTGAGTATTGATAGTTAGCTAGATAATTGTTCAATAAATACAACGCAAAATTGTAAAGGATTTGAATGCTTTTCTAACCTTTCATTTATTGAACTATATTTAAAAAAAAAATCTAAAAGTAATGTATAATAATTTTCAAGCTACCACTCTAAGCTTGTCTCCTGTTTGTGCACAAAATTCATGATGCAACACTAGAGTATGTAAATGTAAAGAGCACTATATAAATTACCTTTGAGTCTTTTTTAATTTCTAATTTAAAACGCTTAGCATTCTTTGATAGTAAGAGATCCACAAGTGTATCTTGATATAACTCAACCATGTAAACCTGCAAAAGCACACGAAAGCACTCCCTAATGTTAAAAAACAACGCAAAGCAAAAATGCAAAAAATTGATGTTTAATTTGCAATTTAGTTCAGAGCCTAATCTACTACTAGAATCAGTGTTTATTCTGTAACGAAACGTAATATGGAATTCATAACTAAAGTAATACCAAAAGATAAGCATGTATAAGTTTGGACGTACACATAGTTGAATCAACTATCAGATGTTAGATATCTGAAATAAAATTGATGATCTCTGCCTGAGGATCTGAGCAAATTTCTCAATGCATTGATACACAAGAGATGTCTATGTTGCATCTTATTTAATATTTAAGTAAAACCTTATGGTGCAAAGTTTACTTCTGTCATGCTAAGCAGTAATTACTAAAAGTTGGCACTACATATGTCAAGCAGTAATCTTTTCATAGCAAAAAATTTACTTCAACATGTAGGAGTCGCACATTAAATTCATTTCATGAAAATACTTAAACAATCAAAATAGTGTGAGGGACTTGTGTATATGCAAGAATGAGGGATTGCATTTCATAGAGGGTCATCAGCAGCAATATCATCATCATTAGACTTACCTTAACGATTTGGGATTGACTTTATGGATCATCATATTCCATTTACTCCTATTGAGTGTTGTAAAATGTGTTAAACCTATTTTTTGCAAGTCTTTTTTTAAGGAAATCCTATCCATGCTAACTTCAGTCTTTATCTATTACTTCCTAATTCTTCATTCTTAAATTTTGATAGATTTCTAATGGATGCATTTTCCACCTTGGTTGTACACGTCCAAACTAACTAAGTCTATATTCGACCACTTTAAGTCCAATAGAAAGTAATACAAACATCCTTCTAATGTAATCGTTACTCATTTTATCCTTCCTGTATTTTTTTTCCACACATCTATCATAACATTTTAATTTCAACAATTTCAAGTAGATGGCAACTAATGGTTAATGCTCACATGGCGGATCCATATGATCGAATAGCTGAGCCGGTCCATTCACTACAGCCAACCCAAAATAGGGCTAGCTCAACCCAGCAATTGGGCTGCTCAGAACAAGGGAGGAAAGGCCAGGCTGTCAAGGATGTGGGCAAATGTGAGGGGTGCGGCTGCTAGGTTGGAAATGGAGGAGAATTAGAGTGGATCACTTATCAAAGGAGAATGTGGGGGGAAAACATGAAGGAGTAATTTCATATTTTTTTTGGGTATGTGTGTGTGTGTAGGGGGGGGAGCTGTATTAGGCCTTTTGTTTGTACTTTTCTTTTCTTCATGCAAATTTTGTGAGCGTTCTTGTTGTCCGCTATTTTTGTAAGGGATTCTAATGGAGTATAGAGTTTGGAAGAGAACGTCCTCCTCTTGAAAGATGACCATTGTATCTTGCTTATTCATGTTTCCTTTCTTATCAAGAAAATCTATTGGTTTGCTTAATTTATTGCTTGCTCGCTGATTTTGGTGATCAAGTCCTATCAAATTGGTATTCGAGCAATTTCTTGGGACCGATGGCAGGAAGAAGAGTTGAAACATTGAAAGAGAAGTTGGAGGAAATCGGGCATAAGCGATCCAAATTGGGAGCAATAGATGAGGGTTTATTAGCAGTGGATGAGCGTCTTTTAGCAATAGAAGGTTTGGAAATCTCAAAACAGATGTTAAAGAATCAAGCTAAAGCGGCTTCATCGAAAGAAAGGGGGAATCACGAAAATAATATGCCGAGCGAAGACAGAGAGGTGTAAATTGGAGAAGAATAGGAAGGAATACCCTCTTGAGCCTCTATTGAGGAGGGGTATGAATAGGGTATATGGAGGTAGGAAGGTATGGGAAGAGGAGAACAGGTAGGCTGAATACAATAGGAGATGGGAAAGGGAACCATGGAGGGATCCCATGCTCACTTCATGGGAGGCATGATGATGCGAACATCCAACCGTCCATGACTATCCAAGGAGCTGAAGATCAACGGCTGTCATCGTCCCACGTTATATTATATTTTATTTGTAATTTTTAAATTTTTATTATAAATTTTCCGTTTTTACCCTCACTTAAGAGGGTCGTCCTATGTAAGCCTTAGGAGCATATGTGTCTTGTTTTAGTTTTTTAGGCCTATATATAGAGGCCCTTTCTTGTGTAATGGGATGATGAATTGATAATGAAATTTTATTCTACTTGTTTGATCTCTTAGTGAGTTCATGAGAGGAGAATGATCTCTTTGTGAGTTATGAGATTCCCAAGATCTCTTTGTGAGTTCTTAAGGAAGTGGAAGGATCTCTTTGTGAGTTCCGAGATTCCCAAGATCTCTTTGTGAGTTATTGAGGAAGTGGCGCTTGTAGATCTCTTTGTGAGTTCTATTGGAGGTGTTGCTCGAGGTGTGTAGCTCCGGATTTTCTTTTTCCTAAACCCAATTTATTTCTTCTCAACCTAACCAAACTCTCTTCCTCCCAAATCCCCTCCACCGGCCCCCATAAGTCCACCGCCGGCCACCCCAGGCCAGTCCCACCACCGGCAGCTCCGCCAGCCTCCTTGGGACGGCTAAGCCACCAACCTCCCTCTTGGGAATTTCAAATTTGAAATTCAAATTTGTTTCCAAGAGGCATTGAAGACTTTCCTAAAATAGTTTCTTGATTTAAGGCTTTCATATTAATTGGATGTAAATTTGAATTTGAAATTCAAATTAATTCTAATTGATAGCCCCATTATTGGAAACTTTCCTTTCTTTCAAAATCTGAATTTTAATTCAGATTTTATTAAATCTTTGATTAGTAATGTGGGCCCCACTCTACTTATGACAAATAATATCCTCCCTCTCTCTATGTGGCCGGCCCCCTCATTGGGCATAATCTCGCTCCTATCTCATTAATAGCCCCCTCATTAAGCCTTCCTAATTACCTCCCACAATTCCCTCTCATCCAATTTAATTCTTCCCATTAAATTTGAATTTAAATTCAAATTCATCCCGCCAATTCCACTTAATTTGAAATTTAATTTCAGATTTTCATTCTCTCTCTCCAAATTGATTTGGGATTTAATTAATCTTACCACCTAGGCAAGTAAATGGCATTTACGTTTTACATCACATGAAACGTGGAAGAGGATATGAGGGTGGTGGAGGAGATCAGAAGATTAGGAAGTTAAAAATGTCAATTTTTAAAGGAAAGGACGTGCATGAGTTGATATATAAGGTAGAGAGATACTTTGTTGTGAATGAGACTTATAGCAGCAACTCTGTATTTAGAGGAAGGCACTGGCACGGTACCAATGGAGGGAGAGACGACGTACCCGAACCGTTCATGGGAGGAGTTTATGGACCGCTTGTTAGAACTTTTTTTAGTAAAGCAGGATGGAGATTACTATAAGAAATTCTTTGCATTAACATAGGTAGGCACTGTGATGGAGTATTGAGAAAGATCTGAGCTTATGTTCGAACTAGGGAGGTTGCCGGAGATAGCGTTGGAGAGCAATTTCATGAAAAGCCTCAAACCAGAGTTGAGAGCAACAGTGCAGGTGACAAGGTCGCATGACTTGGGAGAGGCAATGGAATTGACTAAGGGGTTGTTTGGTTGCCTGAAAAAGAAATGCAGTGTAAAGTAAATGCAATGTAAAGTAAATGTTCTGCATTCCGAATACTGTAAGACAGTTTGGTTGTCTGCAAAATAAACGCATGAGAACTGTTTCCCTTGTTTGGTTAGGTATATCTAGAGTAAAGTAAAAGCGGTGTATTTGTAATAATTTATTTTGACATTACAACTAGTGTATTTATAAAAGCAGTGTATTTATAATAATTAGTATTATTTGGTGTTATAAAATAAAACCAGTGTATTTATTTATTACACTATCTTATTATAAATTTTTTTAAAATTATAAGATATAATATTCTGATGTGTATTAATTTTTCAGTGTGCTGCAATAGATGTGATTGTGTTGGATACAAACAACCTGGAATATCATCATCCTCAGTCACAGGGGAAACCATAATGGACTTGGCAAGTGAGATGATTATATTATCCCTTGGAACAATATAATTTCCAGCGAACCAATGGAGGATATTGATCAAAGCTTGAAATCTAATAGAAATGGAGTGTTTGCTAGGAGATAGTAATTTAAATTAGTGGATTGCGAGGAATTAAAATATAAAATTTCCATTTGATTTCAGGGAAAGAGATTGAGCATAAACTTCTTATTTTTAAAATATAAATTTCGGGGAAAGAGATTGAGCATAAAATTTTTAATTTTTGGGCTCGTTGGATTCGTCTCGTCAAGCCGCTCGATTCGACTGGAAAAGAGATTGAGCATAAAACTATGTTATGTTTGGAAACCGTTTGGTAATCCAAATTGTGGTTTGAACCTTCCAACATCACTTCTAACCCTTCATTTTGACCCGTTTGGGCTCGGATCGGATTGGATTTGATATCGTTGGGTTCGTATTCTCCAGACTCTCATTTTCCACCAAATCTTACCATTTGCAATAGCTCATCTTTGTTTACAGCTGTATTAAAAGAAATAAATGAAATTTGAAATAAAAACGCATGATTTATCTTGAGCTTTTTTCAAGTTATGATTGCAAAATATATTTTCCTCATTAGTTCAAATGGATTAAAAAAAATGCAAGTATTAGTTCAGAAGACGTAACACCTTATTTCAAGTTACATAAGTACAATCAAAAGAGAAAGGAGCAAAGAAAAGGAGCATTTTCTGCAATCTTTGAGGCACTTGCACAAACACTTGGAGTGTCCACACCTATAGCTTTGCGATCATAAGTGCGTGCAAAAGGGAATTTTATACACCTGCAATTAGGGTCTTCAGCCCCTTGTAAATCCATTCCAAACACAACTCCCGCCCCAGCATTGACATAAAAATCTACAGTCTCGTCCCCCACTGCATCGCTTCCATCAACGTCAAGTCCAGTCCTTGCGGCCTTAGCGTCGGATTCACAAACATCATCTTCCAACATACCTTTGCTCCCATGGCGAAGATAACCTTCCCCCCCCAAATCCCTATACCTCTGCTTCCACGGCCCCGACCCGGCCACCACCAAATATACCTTGGGATGTCGTTTTGTTATCTCAGCAAATGCTTGGAACATAAGAGGATGTCCTTTGTCCGTCACAAGCCGTCCGACGACGCCCATTACAAGATTAGCGTCTTCCGGCACCCCAAGCTCTTCTCGGAAGGCCATTCCAAGCTCCAAGTCGGGCCGAAAATTGTGTTCATCAACTCCATTCCGATCGATATCGATAGGATTGTCTAGACCGGTGGAGTCGATGTCAAGCAACTGGCCGGCGACGAGACCCTCAGCGCCGATGCAGCGGGCGAGCTCGGCCGTAGCTCGGACAAAGATGGCGGGGGGAATTGGTTTGGAGGAAGGGTAGTTACTGAGATCGAAGAGATGGCAGAAAGCGAGGGCAAGGAGAGCGTTGCTAGCGAGGACGACGACGGGCTGACCACGTCGGAGATCATCGTTATCCATACATGGGAGATCGTCGTGGATGAGAGACATGGTGCGAATCATCTCGACGGAGCAGGCGGGGGGAATCGGTAGGGCCTCGTCGCCGCCGACGATTTCGCAGATTTTGTAACCCGCTCAATTTGAGCGGGTTTTGAAGTCACGCGAACGGGTCATCGTAATACACCCCTTATGCTTCCGGGGATTTACTTATGTCCTGCTTAAAATCAACCAAACGACCTAATTCATGAAATGCATGTAAAATAATTACTTTACCCTTCTAATTTTGCATACCAAACAGCCCCTAAGCTGATTGAGGACAACAATTCACTACAGAGTAGAAAAGGAGTCAGTTTGAGAGGTTTTTACCACACGACAACCACTTTTCTGGTACTTAGGGTGTAGACTATACCAGTTTACAGGGAGGCTCCAGGGGAGCATGGTTTAAGAGTCTAACAAAGAAGGAATTTCAAGAGGCTGACAGATACTGAACTGCAAGACAAAAGGGCTAAGGGGCTATGTTTCAAATGCGACGAGAAATTTATACCGGGACATAGATGTAAAAATTGTACCTTGCATGGTCTCTTTGCGTGTGATGAAGAGGAGGTGGATGAGGCAGAGGCGGCGAGGGAGGAAGTAGAGGAAGAGGATCCCGTACACTTGGAGATGGTTGAATTTTCATTGAACTCTGTAGTGGGATTCACCCCGAATCACATTATAAAAGTGAGGGGACGGAGAGGAGGAGAGGCAGTGGCGATACTGGTGGACAGTGGGGCTACACAATTTCATATCAAACCAGGTGGTAGACAAATTAAGGTTGAAACTAGCATACACGGAATGTTTTGGAGTGATGATGGGCGCATAAAATGTGAAGAAGAGGAGAGTGATATGTCAGGGTTTGGTGGCAGAGCTACAAGAGATTCACATCAGGGAAGATTTTCTTCCATTGGAGTTGGGAAGTGTTGATTTGATTTTGGTAATGAGGTGGCTAAAAACTTTGGGGGACACCAAGGTAAACTGGAAGGCATTAGCTATGGAGATCCAGGTGGAGGGAAGAAATGTGGTAATTAAGGGAGACCCCAACTTATCCAAAGAAATGATTTCTTTGAAAACCATGATTCGTACCATACAAGGGGAAGGAGGGGTATTCTTGGTGGAGCTTCAGGGTTTGGAGGGAGGAGAGACATAAGAGATAGAGGACATTTGAGACATTGTCCAACCACTTCTTTAGCAGTTCAGGGATATATTCCAGCTTCCCCAGGGATTGCCACCCCCATGGGAGCACAAGCACTCTATTGCTTTGAAGGAAGTTTCCCCCATTAGTGTCTGACAATACCACTACCCTAAGATCCAGACGAAAGATATTGATAGATTGATTCAAGAGATGCTAGAAGCTAAAATCATCAAGTCTAGTGTGAGCCCTTTCTCTACTCCTGTATTATTGGTGAAGAAGGATGAAAATTGGAGGTTCTGTGTAGACTATTGTGCACTGAACAAGGAAATTTTATCAGACAAGTTTCTCAAACCAGTCATTGATGAGCTGCTAGAAGAGTTGCATGGATCTGTGATACTCGCCAAGATTGACTTGAAATCTAAGTGCCGCCAGATCAAAATGTGATCAGGAGAAGACTCAAGCCAGTTTATGAGTGAGAGCTGATGGTGATTGAGTTGGCCATTCAGAAATGACAGCCTTATACATTTAATTTTCGTCAATTGCTATAGTGTTGGAACGCTTTTTCTATGCGACCAACAACTGCAGCTTGCTTCCAACTCTCCATGTCAACACTGCTAGAGTACCCAAGCTAAAATTCCTTCAGTAGTTCCGCCTAGTTATAGGTCTTAGGGATGTGAACTATGGATAGTTTAGATAGTTTAGCAGTTTAGCTCACACAAATATATATTAGTAATCCATTAAGTCCATTGCCATCTTTTATCGCCACTATACATTGTTATTTGGCCATTATACTAACATCAAGAAAAAGAAAATTCATGCATTTTGAGTAACTGGCCAAGTTGCTAAAATAGTAATAAATTTTGTTAGCAAAATGGGTCCTATGGAAAGCCCATCGATTCCCAGTCACTAGTGAAAATTAAAAATATTGATCCATTCATAATACTCCTTCAATTAGATTAATGGGTTGTCCAATTGAACATGATAACAAAATACATAACTACATAAGTCATTAGAAGAAGCTCTATAATACATATACACCTTATTTTCCCTATGAAGGAAAATATAATTGAAGAACCTGTGAATATGGGCAAAACAAGGAAAATAACTTGTGATAAAGACAAGATAAAATTAGACCAAAAAAGTCCAAACTCAAGAAAAGAAAATATATTATTTTTCCCCAAAGCACACGTACATTTAATTTTTCTAAATTGCTATAGTAGCCAAATTCTTCTTCTATGCGAACAACAACTACAGCCTGCTTTCAGCTCTCCTTATTCAACATTGCTACAACACCCAACGTAAGATTCCTTCACAGATTGCTATTCTGCCTAGTTATAGGTCTTAGGGAGATGTATTATGGATAGTTCAGATTGCAAACATATATATTAGTAATCCCTCAAGTACATCACCATCTTTTATCGCTTCAATACCCCCCCCCCCTCCATAAAAAAAACTTTGCCACATGAAATCTTCGGAAGAATTGGGAGGATCGGGTTGCTGCAGTAATTCCTATAGTAATTGCCATAACAACTTTTTAAAAAATTAGCATTGCAATTCTCTCCTCCTCTTTAAGAATCTCATCCTCGAAATTCCTTTCATTGGTGAATCGGTGATTATTCAAATAAATGAAAAATCTTTATCTCATTTCTTGTTCTCACTCTCGTGTTACTTTGCTTTCTGTTTAGGCCTCAACTTCGCTTTAACATAAGGGATCCCCCAATTTCTTTGTGTTAGCATTTCTCCATAAATTATAACTTGCCAAGATGTTGCGGCAAATGGTGATTCCATTTTCATATTTCTTCATTTAGTGGATCATATTCACTTTGCTCACCTATAGGCATAACCTTAATTGAAGCCAAATCACATAAATCTTATTTTCTTTTTATTTTATTTTTCCTTTCTCATGTGTGATTGTTTTTGGCACATCATTCTCAAACTGGTGATCATTCCATTCTGGTTATTTGATGCTTTCATCACAACTACAACTTCAATTCACTTTTTTAAGACAGTATCTCTTAGCCCTTAATACACCTAACTTGATTAAAATCTCTAGATCTCTTTATCTTTTACCATATCTATTTAATATATATTCTTATCCGATCTTTGATACAAAGTCATAATATAAATCAAAGCAAAAATTGCAATTTTTGTTTTGATCATTACCTTCTTCGTAATATTTATAGCTTTCTTCTAATAATTATAAAAATAAATAATACTTATATTTTGTCACTCCTTAAAAGCATATTTTCCCCCTAATAACATGTTGCACCTCCTCACTCCACCATCAAGTCATCTTACTAATGCATGATCTATTCTAGATGCTTCTAAGACATTCATGTCAATCCTTTTAATGGAACCATCAATCTTATCCAACATTATATTTATTCACCTAAAAATCTCGAATTTACCTCTCTTAGAAATCCATCTGCAAGATTAACCATTTCTTGCATTTCAAATTCCGACATATTACTTTGGATTATTTCTTTTATACTCCTAAGATATATCGTCCAACTTTCTCATGGAATTGCCTTACAGTGTTCGCCAAAAAAAATTCTTTCCTTTTTAAGCAAATAAGTCTATGTAATTTGTTAGCGCCACAACTGATTGCAATAAAGTATTGTTCTTGTTTATTCAAGTATTTAGTCTCTGTTACAAAATCATAGACTATAATGAAATCAAGCCAACATCTCTATGAATTTTCTCATAGCTCATCCAGTTAGAACATCCAAGTCCTTTTAAGTCACCCCAAAACTTTCATTTCCTGCTTACATATGCAATATAATGGTTCTTCTATCTTTTTTCTAAATTGATTTCTTAAACTATCCATCAATACATTGCGTTTCATGGAGGAAAATCCTAGAAGGTCCCTGGTTTCTAACCAATGAAATGATTGCATATTTAGTTATAATTTCAAGAGATGAATCCACTTTTTTACATCCTTCACATCACATCAATATGTAAGAAATAAGCTGATATTTAGGTTGTACTACTTCTTAAGTATCCTGCATTCGAGAAATTCAATTCAAAATAAAATTGCAAAACACATTCTTACCAAAATTAACTCTTGCAAGTGCTTTAAAAAAACATGCTTTGGTCAAAATGTTGGCACAAAGAAAGTAGTAAATAAAATAAATTTAATCAATACCTTCAGAGAAAAAGAGAATTTTTTGCCATCACGATCCATTATTTTGAAAAGCTCAGCTGTTGTCCTTGGGGTGAGTCCCGGATGCCTTTCTGAACCATATATTGTGAAAGTCTTACCAGAACCAGTTTGTCCATATGCAAATATGCATACATTATATCCATCAACAGCAGATTGTACTAGATACTGTGCAAAACCCAACAAATAATATTTTTTGAAAAAAGCAAAGAAAGCAAGGATGCATCATAGCTAGAGGTTATCATTATCATGCAAGTTCAAAAATAAAAAATTTGATTTGAGAGTTACTTACCTTGGTATCTGCAAAAACATCATCTTGTGAAGCACTTGGACCAAAAACACGATCATATATATGTTGCTTTAACTTCTCATCTTTCCATGGATGTGCAACAGTAAACTCATCCATTGAGACTACCATGTTTTTCTCCTTATCAGCAATTTCATTTTCATTTAAAGGGCGTAGACGACAAAAAACTCTTATCTTGCCTTTCATATCTGTTGTAAGATGCAATTGCTCGTAATTACATGATATAGTACAGTAATATATGTCATACTCCACAATATTCGGTTCAAAATCTAAATAGCAATGAAAAATCACCTTCAATAATATTATAATATCGTTTCCGTAAAACTTGCTCTTCTTTGTAGAGTGCTTCAAGTTCAGCAAGCTGTGCTCCTTGCCTTTTCAATATTGCAGCCGTTTGTTCATTTTTCCTATCAATATCCTGTTATAAGATACAAATCACCCCACAATTCAATCAAAAGAAACATTTTTTAGTTGTCTTTAAGAAAAAAATGCTCTGTTTTTTTCTTGGAAAGAACTAACAAAAATGAAGACATGCCGAATCTCATAGAAGCACAAGCTTGTAGTCTCAAAAATGAACTTTTAAGTTTTTTTTAGCCCCAGACTGTGAAGCAAAATGAAAAAGATCATGCGGTTTACACTTTAAGTGCCAAAAAAGACAGTTAAAGAACCGCATGAAGCACAACAGCATTTCCCATCACATGACAGGCAGGGCCAAACAAAACAAAATTTTGAATGTACAAGCTAATTTTATAAAGAGTGCCAAATTTGCTTACCTCTCTCATTTCTCGCAATTCTTCTAACTCCTTTAAGTCTTCATGTAATGTATCTAGCTCAGTATTTCTGATTGCAAGAGTAGATTCGGCTACATTCAAGGATTCCATTGTACTTTCCAATTTCTGTTCCAATTCTGCAACACGCATATCTAAGTTTTGGCGCTCAACTTCAAAATTCTTTACAGTCATATTAATCTGTATGTTAAACATGAAACAATTAGCAATTTGTGTATGCTCTAAAAATTAATAAACCTCCTTTACGTCAGCAAAATTAAAAACAAAGAAATGACCTCATCATTTTTCTTCTTTTCAGTTCTTTGAATCTTCTGCTCAAGCAAAAATTTCTCTTTCAGCAGCGTCTTAATAGTATCTTTAGATGCTTGTAACTCCTTGGTGCGTATCCTCAAATCCTCTTGAGTTTTGATTAATGTCTGACCAGAAGACCATAGTTGATTACAACATTTTTTAATCTCTTCAAATAAAAAACCTAGTATACTTTAGTAAGAAGTAGTACCATATAAAGTTTCATGCAAAGAAAAAAAAAGCGTGATGTAGTTTTGATGCTATGACTAGAATGAAGAAGATAATAACATTAAGTGAAGAACAAGAAACCATGCAAATACAAATCCCAAAAAGAAATTTAAAAAGAAGAAGAAGCATGACACACCTGAAAATCATCACTGCCATTTCTAACATAACCAGTATCTCCTCCATCTCCATTTCCAAATACAAGCATACTTTGCCTCCTAGCATGACTTCCTATCAGGTGTCCTGGTGAGCTCAGCTTTGCTAGCTTAGCTTCAATGCTTCGTTTATCAGTTAATGCAGTCTGTTAAATTATGTATAATTAAAAAGTAGGATAAAAGAATAATCATGTAGAAATTATTATGAAATAATATTGTTAGTTTGACAAATATTTACGCAATTAATATTGGAAAATATACCTGCAAATCAGCCTCCTTTTCATCATATAAAGTTTTAAGTTTATCACGCTCATTGATGATTTCTTGTAAGTTTTCCTTCCCTGCCTGTAAAGAATCTCGAAGCCCTTCCAGTTCCTCCTGCATCTCTATTTCTCGTTTCTCTTTTGCATGCAATTCTTCCAATAACTACAAAATTGGGTAGGTTAGTCAATGTCAAGAAATAAAAAAGAAGAAAGTTCAACTGGTTGTAATAATGGTATCCAATGCGTTTGTCTCAGTTAAAAGTAAAAATTAAGAAATGCATACATAGAAAAGTAGTTTTTAATCCCCATTTCAGTGATCCAGAGCCAACACAGTACTTTTGAGAAAAGTAGACATTCTTGTACGAAAACTTTTTATTATTATTTTGAATGCAGTTCGGGGTACTATAGTATCTATATCTGAATTTCCACAAACACTAGGCAATTAAGGAGTAGAAGAATGTTGCTCTAGACTTCAAGTGAGAGAGCGACCGAAATTATAATAATGTTAGGAAGAGCAGATAAAGTTAAACATTACTGTAATTTTAACAGGAAAAGACAGATTTGCAATGCATTATAAAACATTAAAAACAGATCACCGCATATATATATATATATATATATATATAATATATAAAATAAAAAAAATAAAAAAAGAAATCGAACCGACTAGTGTAAGTTCAACTCATCATCACAGTGACTAATGTTTTCAATATAAGTTATTCATATTATTAAGATAGGTGGAGTTTACGGAGTGAATAATAAGGCAACTTTTGAACTTGAGGTGAGTATTCATATTTCTAATTTATAGCAATGATTTTACTTCTTCTAAATCTAATGCATCAATTATTATTCATACTTATTCAGCTTGATGTTATAATAAATTCATTTATGATTTTTTTCTATAATAGATGATTGGTCATGCTGAAATGGATCACATAAATTTATTAACATATTTCAATTATTTATCCTATGTCATATAAGATTTATTATACAAAGATATGGAATGAAATGGAGAAAGAAAATAAAATAATTTATATCGGAATGCTTGTATGTGCATACAAGTATGAAATACAATCCCTTATGGTACTAATTGGAGATACATTATACCCATGCACATAAATTAGATAAAGTCTTAGAAAAGGGAATGGAAATAGAAGTACCTTAAATAGTACAAATTAAACAGAAGCTCCTATAACGGCTGTATTATATAAGAAATGAGAAAGATAAAATTTGATATGATATGATTATATACAAAGAAAGATTTTAAAACTCTTGCATTATCATAATTGAATATAATGAATTGCCAACTGATTTATGATGATCTATTTTAACCAGCATACATTCTGATTTTTAAATTTCCATCATGCAGAAACTCATCATTGTTGTGATTAATGTTTTTAAGATAAATTATTAACTAAATAGGTGGACAAAGAGAATATATTTATTGTAGATGTGGCACTATAAGAGAAAGGTATATCTTAAATTTGTTATAGTTTTGATCTAAAAACAAATTTAGAATTTAATAGCTCTTTCAATATAATTGAGGTTTTGCAACTAATTATTTTGCAATCTATCCGAGAGAGAGAGAGGGAGAGAGAGAGGCTTGAATTGATATTGCCAACTTTATCATGCTTGGTGTTTGAATATTGTTTTACATCTCCATTTCTTAAACATTCGGGAAGAGTTTTATCTAAATATATGACTTGGTTATGCTATTCAAAAAGGTGTGATGATGAAAGTTCATCAAGATTGAGAGCAATGTACCACTAATAAACATAAAAGAGAGGAAACATAACATAGAAAAACACCAAGATTTATGTGGTTTGATTTCAACTAAGTCTACATACATGAGATAGTAGAGAGAATCCCATCCACAAATAAAGAAGTCACAATTATTGTGTTCAAAATAAGAGCACTCACCAACCATATCTCAATCCCCAAGTACACCCCCACAAAAAAGAAAAAGAAAAAGAAGAACATAAAACAGCTCAAAAATCTCACATTAGGAGATTACCTTGCACAAAGTCTTCTTTTCTCATGCATCGCCTCAAAGAAGCCAATCCTCCATAAACCCCATATCCAATAGAGCACATGGAAAAATTATTCTGTGCGGACACCGTCTGGAGACCAACTAGAACACGCCACGTCAGGTTTTGCTCGAAACTGGTGCTGGGTATCTTTGTGCATCGGGTGACGCGGCGCGTTCTGGTTGGCCTCCGGACCGTCTGGTGTCCACACAGAATAATTTCTCAAGTACATGAGGAATGAAGAAAGATCTCCAACATGAATTGTATAGAGAACTCTTCAGATAGCTCATATAAATAATCTTACGCCAACCCCCAAAAAGAAACATCGAGAATATGGATTTATGCATTGACGCAATTCCAAGAAGGAAATTCCGAATGCATGTGCCCCAATGTGTGCCTTCTAATACTTGTTGTGCACATGTGCCAAGGTTTCCTCCATTTCGATATGGAGTGGAGACATGAAGGAGACTCAATCTTGCCATTCTTAAGAGTGCACGTGTGCCTTGCCATGATAGCTATCATGACAACCTAGGCATGGTGCTATTGGAAACCATATATTAGCAAAAAAATGCAGATCACCCCTCATTTAGATGGAACCAGAAGATAGAAGTCATCATACTAGAGTTGGCAGAAAGACAACTAATAACATCAAGCTAATAAACTAAACTTCTCATAGCACAAAGGCAACAAAAGAAATGTTATGACCCCAAACAATGAGATTCCAATTTGATGCCAAGGACAAAAAGTTATTTCAAGGTAATCCTTACACATGGCATCAAGCGGTTTGATCAAGCCCACATGTTGTAGACTTAGTACAAAAAACCTTTTGAAGTCTGCGAGGTGGGGCTTATTGCCTATTGACTACTAGTCTAGTACTATAATTGTTTATGATTTGATCACTCTAGATTAATGTCTTAAAGCAAGAATATAATATTGCTTTAACATACAAGAATATAAGCGAAATGAAGAAAATTTTCTTGCTAAATATTTTTTAAAACTTTCCTAATTAATTAACGTAGCAATATGACTTCCAATAAAATGATAGATCTATAACTTAAACAGTATAAACAGCAATAATAAAAAAACACAAAGCAATAATGTAATAACATAATATTGCCAATAATCAACAAAATTAGATTAAGCAAAACTATGCATTAAATAAATAAAAAATTAAAAACAATAAAGGAAAAAATGTGCATACAGTATGAAGAAAAAGCAACAGGTGGGCTAGTATCGACTAGGCTCGATGGGTTTTTGGGAGTCGTAATATAGTTCTCCTGGTTTTGTAACTTTGAGCTCAACCTGTAACATGCCAAATCTAAGCCTATACTGACAACATTATTAATGAATCTCAATATGAAGTATTTAATGATGTGACTAAAATAATGTGTTCTTTGTAAAATAATATGTAACTGAGAAATTAAATATATCTTCTCCTATTGGCAAAATCATGCTCTTAATTTCCAATCATAATATGAACAAAGTAATATAAACTACAATCTAATTGATAGCTTAATTTTCATCATTATCTTTCCTTGAAAATGCAAGCGGTATGAGCTTTAGTTATAACAATGATGTAAACTATAAAAATCAAATAGTTGATGCTTCAGGGGCAGAATATAAATCAAGGTGTTCATAAAGGGAATAAACAGTTAAACAATTTGCTCACTTTATCTGCAGTCTTATGGGATTCTTCTACAGCTTTAGCTAGGTCCTGCATACATTTTTCATGGATGTCTATACTTGGCGGATTAATTGCTTGAGAAGAATCATCATGAGGGGATCTTGTAGCAGGAGGTTGTGATTTGGAGTACCTACGGAGCATGACATCATTTATATGTGTTTGAAGAGCAACACAAATTTCCTCCCCCTGCAAAGGTTTATGTAACACTTATCTCACAGAATTCACTAACAATAACACCAACAATAAAGTGATGTGCTAAACTAAAGAAAGCAAGAAATATAACAGCCTGACCTGCTTAGTTTCAAACTGAAAAATCTGAAGCACACCAGCAACCCTCATCTTAAAGAAAACAGCAGTGTTGCTGCTACCAAATTGCATAATATCCCTTAGCTCTGCTGAGTGTAAGTATTCTTTTGGAACTGGACGAAAAAAATGAATCTATAATACAAGAAAAAAAAATTGCATTAGAGACTGTTTAGTGCAACATATCAACAGGTCAAAAGTATTCAAGGAGCAGTTACTAACCCCACGCTTATTTATGCCCAAATTAATTCGACCAGGTAGAAGGCCTATTGGGTCATCTATCTTGCGAACATTGAAAAAAACCGAGTTTCCATAGGGAAGAGCATGAAGGATCCTAAGGAACTGCTGTCTTGCATCATCTCTCAACAAATGTTTCTGCATGGATTAGAAAAATTTTAATGATCCAAATAATTAAAACCATAGAATTGCCATTGCTTGCAAAGAAATGTTAAATGAACTTACACTACAAGGAGTTGAGCTATACAAGCCCAACAATCAAAGAAATGTTATTTTCTACCTCAGCAGGCATCTACAGCTAATGGAAAGGGAAAAAAAGTTTAAAAGGCTTGGTTTCTAGCTAGTTAAATATCAAGTCGCAAGAATCATCATCATCACAATTATTAGCCTTACCGCAACTATTTGGAGTCGACTTTATGAATAGTCATTTTCAATTCATTCCTATTAAGTATTGTGAGAGATGTCAAATTTATTATACACAAATTATTTTGGATAACTTCTAACTTCTTTACTGTGAAACACTTAGATCCATGCATCATCGAAGTAATTGCAATTTTATAAATTTAACTTTAAATTTGTACATTTTCCTCTAATAACATAATACTCCTTAGGCACTTCTCTATTTTAATCTACTCTAAAAGTTACATTCTCATCTATATCCCTACTTCTGTACAACATATCTAAAATACTTAAGCCTATCATACATAATATCACTATATCTTTTAATAATATTAATTGATAGTTATTAACATCACACCCACCAAAATAATGAATCATATATATCGTAGCCAAAACTCACATCTATCAAGAATGGAATCAAAGTTAGAGCTATGAAAGAATGGAATCAAAGAGATAAGAATTAAGTTCCATATAGGACAAAGTGTTAAGTTATAGAAGCCGCCTTTTGAATCATTGGGAACAAAGTTCTATACATTGAGAGCAACCTCTTGAATATAAAGGTCAGCTCTAAAATTTTATCAACTTGGTGAATGATTCCAAATAGTGTAAAGATACAAACAAGGATGACAGTTTCTTTAAGTGGGGGAGATTGTAAAACCACTTAAGTATAATGGAGCATAATTCGTAAACATCAAAGTGCCTTTTAGCATAATGGTCAATGTTTCATCTAGAAATCCAAAGTTAAGCATGCTCATGTCAAAGCACTCCTACAATGGGTGACACTCCTAGAATGTTGAACCAATTGTGCAAATCCTTGAGGCCGATTAGGCTAAAGTGGACAATATTTCAATGGATTTGAGTTTGGGTTGTGACAATATAATTGGTCCTTTTTTATAATTATAAGTCATCAATCATCTTAAGATGTTTCTCCATAGCTTTTAACTTCCCACTTATTTCAATAGATATATCACCAATTATAACACAATCCTTTGCAAAAAGCATACACAAAGGCACCTAAGTTTAAATATCATTTTTAAAAATCTCCGTAATCAATACAAAAATAAAATATATAACTAATATTGATCCTTGATGTACTGATGTAATTAAAAATTCTTTGATCACTTTAGAACTACTTATACAATGAAG